GCCGTGGCTCCTAAAGGAGGAAAGTTAAGAAGAGAAGACAGCAGGAGCTATTGCTTTTCGTGATTAGCCTTTTGGTACTTGGTGTTTCAACCAAGTGTATGTAGTTCTTAATGTTTTTTAGATTATTAATGAGAATGATAAAACAGAATGGAAATTCTGGACGGTGGTGAAAAGGAAAGGTCGTAGGGCATCGGGGGTACAAAGCACAGAGCAGCGCTGAGGTGGGAGGTTGGGAGCGGACAGACGGTGAGTGCTGGCTTGCATGCTGCGGATGCGCCGCTCGGTGGTGTTCGCTAGCCTTGGGGCTCTGACCAGAGCTTGGGTATACAGTTTCTGTGCCAGCAAAAACCAGCATTAGGTAGGTGGCAGTGAGGCCAGGTGCTGGACACTGGGATCCAATCCAGGGCCTGTGGTCTCAACACAGAGTTTCATATAGAACTTTGGGTTTTGTTTGTTTGTTTGTTTTGTAAAGAAAGTTATTTTGTGTCACAGCAAAACTCAAGGGGATGGCAGCACTAGACCCAGATTAGAATATGCTGCTCAGCCTGTGGTCACAGAACCTTCCATCCTCAGCACGACTGAGGCCTGAGTTCTCATGGGAGGCATCTGTCCTCTCTTGGCTTCCAGCCATGCAGAGTCCAGAACTGTGTGGCAAGAGTGGCATGGTGACGCCAGGAGGCCAGATGGCAGCCATGTCGTTTCAGCCCTTTCTGGTCTTGATGAGAGATCTTCAGCACCTGCAGAGCCTGGCCTCTCAGAGAGATTTGAGGAGCAGAGGGGCTGTGGTCTTGATGGGCCCCCAGACCAGGGGGAGCTGAGCCCTGATGCAGCTGCTGGCCTCAGGAGGCTGTGGGCGCAGCCCACAGAGATTCTGCCCTGTGCACACAGACTGTGGGTTTTTTCAGAGCCTGGCCGGTGCTGCCTCAAAGTCAAGAATGCTTCACCCCCTCCCTCTCATGTGTGACAGGCGTGGACATAGAATAATCACCGAAGCTCCAGAGCCCCCCAGGCCTACCGTGCAGTCACCCCATATCCTCAGCACTTTGAAAACTCTAAAACGTCCTGTCCGTTCCCCTCTCACTTCCCGGCCTCCAGGTTGGGCCACGCCTCTCTTTGTTTCAAAGCACTATCCTCTGATCCAAGTTAAGTTCTTTTGGGGCCAAACCTTTAAAGTAAAAAGGGTCAGTTTTTTTTTCAGTGCAGTTCATGGAACTCTAATGAAATTGTTCAGGGAAAGGAGTGAGGAAGGAGATTTTAAAAATAATTCCTAATTTCAGAGTTTCCTAAATATATGGCCTCTGGACACCAGAATCAGCTGGGGAGCTTAGAGCTACAGGAGTAGGAATAGGGCCCAGGGCTCAGACTTTGATCCAAGCTCTCAGGAGTTTAAGAACCCTGGTCTGGTTCTTGGAATACAAAGCTGCATCTGTTCTTGTGTGGTAGATGGGAAATTGCCTTTTCATTCTTTCTCCTGCAACAGTTAAAAAGTCATATATTTATATCTTCGTAGACAGAATTACGAGACTCTCCTTTTCCAGGTTATCTGTGTATACACAGGTAGAATATGTTTATCCCATGCCCTGAAATGGAAGTAGATCAAGTGTTGAGAGAATGTAGAGAAGAGAATTTCCCAGGGGTGATGGGTGCCTGAGTGAGGAAGGGAGGACACACTGGGGACAGAAGGGTCAAGTGCAGGTAGTACGGCCCCTGAAAGCACTTGTTTGGCTGATGCACACAGTTTGCGCTTAGGCAGGGCAGGTCCTCCTTGTTGTACCCCAAGTCCTGGGGCCAGCTGGGCTTCTGAGTTTTGGTTTTTTAGAGTTTATTTAACACATACTGAGCTCGGCCCCTCCACTCCCCACCCTGTGCCCAGGCAAGTACACCTTAATCAAACGTACTGCTGAAAATCGAGTCAGCAGCCAGTTGTGGAAATGTATAGGCAAGTAAATTCTAGATGTTCTGGAGTGTGGAGGGTAATACCTGCTTTTTGGGAAGAATGGCATTGGGGTTTAATTTATGAATTATAATGAGATTTTCCTCTTGGTATTAAGTAGATTTTATCGTAGAAATCCTCATTAACTTTAGTATCAGAAAAGTCCATAAACACATTTTGACATTTTCATAATAATCATGACAGAAAAGTCTGATTTGGCATATTATCCTGAAAAATGAAACTCCAAAGTATAAAAGATGTCTTTTAATTTTACAGTTAACAACATCTAAGTTATGGTTGCAACTACGAGCCGGTTCTTAGAAGCAGTAAATCTCTATATTGTGTCTTACCGCATTCTGGGGGAAGTGAGGTCATTGTTTTTCCAGTGTCACGTTCACTTATTCAGCAGGTATTTATTAAGCACCTCGTACATGCCATCACCTCTTTAGGCACTAAGATGCAATAATCAGCAACAAAGTTCCTGTCCTTATGGATCCTCTTTTCTAGGGAAAGACAAGGACTGTAAGTAAATGTACATGTAAAGGCTGAAGGAAAATGGAGCAAGAAGAGGAGAGAGATCGTGGCATCAGTTGTGCAGCGGTGCTTGGAGACGAGTCTTTCTCTTTACAGCTGACTTCACAGAATGATTTAAAACCGGTAGTCGAGGGCCTCATCAGTTTTCCCCAGATCCCCTCAGTCCTGTTCAGAGCACTTTGAAGGGCTTACGTCTCTATCCTTCATCCCTTCTCCATTGCCGATCCTGCCGAGTCTCATTTGGCAGTGGTTTTACGTGACCAGTTCTCCAACAGTACTTTCACTGAACTCGGATCTTCTGCAAAATTGATTTTGCATTTTCCTGCAGTCTGTGAGTAAGGACTGCCCAATTCATGCGTGTTGTCCCCGTGTAATTTTTATAAGTCTTCCCCTTCCCTCTCAGCATTTGTTAGATGGGACGCACAATGCGTAGGGTATTAAGCAGGGCTGGATGTTTCTCAGTGGTTGATCCTTCATAAAGTTTTATATTATGACTTTCAATTCCCTGAGAAACTCTGTAACTGTGGAGACTTAGATGATAAACATTCAACACAATAGAGCCGCTTTTAGAGTAATGTCAGTCTTGCATATCAGCCACACTGGCAGCCAGTTTGCATGGGTTCGTTATGATTTCTGACTGGATGTGAATGAGGTGTGGCCCTGCTTTACGAAGCCCTGGGGAGCTGCCCCGAGGAGTGGCCGTAGGGACGCCTGGTAAGTCCTCAGAAGTGCTGTTGGGCAGCCAAACGTGTTGGCATCCCATAATAATTAAAAGCATATTGTGGGTTTCTTTTAAATGTGAACACCGAGAACATATTAATGTTTTAAGAGATTAAACTCTATAAACAGAATGGAGTAGATAGAATCTGTTTCCTTCTCCTTTATTAAGTAAAACCTGGACTCTTCATTCCTCAAGACTGAGTAACTTTATTTATACAGTGGTCCTTCTCCAGTCTTACCAAAATGCTTTTATGTAAGGACTATAGCCATATTCTCAAGGAGCCTTCTTATTTGGGATGCATTACTGTAATAAACAAAAGAAAAGCAAAAAATGTGAGTTTCTTCTTGTCTAGGGTACGGAACTTATGTTACCTTTGTATTTCTGATAATAATTGATAGCAAGGAGGAGGATACAAAAGCTTTAAATTCTGTGCCCTATAATATTCTATGGCCTGAAGAGGTGCTGTTGGAACTTCATTTATGGAGCATGAAAAGGAAGTAAAACCATTGCAAAGGCAAACAGAGGAAACCTCTCCCGCCTCTTGTGAGTCTGGTTGTTAAAAGAGGGCAAAGTGTTGAAGGTTACCGTGCTGGCGCCTGGGCGTGGCAGCTCCTTAGCGTGACCACAGGATGGGTGTTGCTTCCTGAGAAAGGCAGAGGGTTGGGTGGGATTAGAAAAAATCATTGACTTCTCTGATTGTCATACTTATTGTCTGTCTGGAACACTTATCACCTCTTTTAATAATTGTTTCATCTGTAGTATCATTCTGTCTCCAAGACAGCTCCGTTCCCCTAAAAAAAAGCAGTGAATACATTGTAATAGCTGGCTGGTACTGCATGTGTCGTAGGTAATAATGAGGACACAATTGTCATGCTCAGTAATAAATCCTGAGGTGTACGTTTTCTCATGTTCTAATAGCCCCAAAATCGAGATGAACCGCACGGTCAGGGATTTTGGAAGCTTGTTGTCACAGTTTAATTGGCGGTGCTTTTTCTTAATAGTAGAAAAAATAATGCCGTGGTGGTTTTGATGAACTCCACTAAGGATTTTCATATTCTCGATACAAAGATTTGTATAATGAAATTATTAAGTTCCAGCGGATGTTATATTGATTGTCAGATGATACTCAATAAGATAAAATTTGAGATATGGTTAAAAAAGAAAGACATTATCTTGAAGTGAGTATACACTGAGCACATAAAGGTCAAAGTAAGGAGGGGCACAAGGAGAGGGGCTGCCCACCTCGCCGTAGATGAAGAATTAATGTGAAGCAAACCAGGAGAGTATTTTGTCTGGATGAAGGCCCAGGGAGGTAGCAAGCAAACTCACCTGCCTGTCATTAGTCTGAGAGGTCTTCAGGGTCAGCCCGGGAGAACTCACGCACGATGTCCTGAGCAGAGGGCACTGAAGAGGTTGTCGAAGCCCCGGGATACAGTGAGCCCTCACTCGATGTCATTGATGCGTTCTGTGACTTTAAGCAAAACAACATGTAACAAAGCCGATTTTACCACAGGCTGATTGATACAAACACGAGTTAAGTGCCAATGGCACCTCATGGGCATTATAAGGAAATGACATTGAATGAAATGTTATTGGAAGACCTGCTGTATTACTTTTGGGTTGACAATTAAATGAGGGGAAAAAACAAAGGGACGGGGCACTAATCCTCAAGTGCAAAACTTTACGTTAGTCTCTTTAAAATAAAAGTATGTTTTCATCTTAACCGTTGAACCAACCGAGAAGACTGAGTTCCCGGCGCCGTCTGGGAGCCGACCTAACCACGCTGCCTGTCTTTCTGTCTTTCTGCCGCAGATCGCCTTCTCCCAGCACAGCAATTTTATGGACCTGGTACAGTTCTTTGTGACGTTCTTCAGGTAATTTCACTCATACAAACTATATCTGTTCTTCTGATTCGGGCACTTAATTCCATTAATTATCTGCTCATAAAAGATAAATGAATATCCTGAGTTTGCGCAACAGATCAAACTAATTGTGTTTATATTCCTGAAAAGTTAGATGTCAGTAACAAGAGCCTAAATTCAGCCTCATCTGGTGAATGAAAATATTTGCTTTGTATGTTCTGACTTTTTTGAAGCAGCTTTTCATGTACCCTGTACTAAAACGTAGATAATTTGGCTCCTCGTATGGGGAGAATTGGGGGTGAAACAACAATTTATAATGATTACTGGTGAGTGCTACATATATACTTCCTGTTGTTCAAGAAATGTTTTAGGTGATTATCTACGGTTTTAAAGGACTTATTAAGCCCTTGGGATTTTTTTGTTATTGGTTTTTTTTTTCAGTTTAATTTTATTTTAATGAAAATACTATATACACGTATTGGAAAACACAAGTCCTACAGTGCTAATGAGAGGAAACAGCAGCATCCTGCCCCCACCTTCCCATTCCTCCCTTCTTTCCAGTCTAAATGGTTTTGCTATTTTTACTTATCCAGGCTTTAACTGGTTCTTGATTTTTCAGTTTAGTTATCTTCTGATGTCCTACTATACATACAAGTTGAGGATTGATTATTTCATGTTACCTCATTCAACAGTGTCCCACAGCACAAGAACGTATAAAATCCCCTTCCTTATACTCACTTAATATAGTTATATCACAGTGCTTGGCTAAATCAGTCATCCCTGTTTACGTTATGCACATAAAACTCCTATTCACAGGTCAGTTGAATTGTGATTGTACTTCCCCAGTTTTTGGATGGGTGATCACTCTTTGCTTCTTCTAAATGTAATATTTCCCATATTTAGTTTTTTTTAATTGTTTGGTTTTCTGTGTAGGCACCTCTGATTCTTTCTGCACTCTAACAGAACTGAAAAATGTCTCGGTTTGGTCCCACACGGGCAGGCACTCTCTTGGTTTTCGTTTCTCTGGTAGATGTCTGCCCGGAACCCCTGGCCTGCTCCTAGGTGCGCTGCTTCTTGAGGCCTGAAGCACAGCTGTCACCTGGGGAGTTTCTTTTGCCTTCATCTTACATTGAAATCTCCGTTTCCCAGGTCTTAGGTCCTCATTTCCCTATTTACTCCCTCCTTTTACCGGGGCTCATTCTCCAGGAGGTTTCTGAGAAAAGGTGCAGGGGAGTAACTTTTCTGTGACCTTCCTGTCTGAAAAAAATCTTAATTTTACCCTCACAGTGGACTGAAGATCAAATACAGAATTCTAGGTTGGAAATGATTTTCTATTAGAATTTAGAAGGCATTATGCTGTTCTTCTGTCTTCCAGTACAACTAATAAAAAGGCTAATGCCATTAAAATTTCTACTCCTTGTATAGAATCTTCAGGAAATTTCACTTTTAAAAATTATATTGAGCCCTGGCTGGTGTGGCTCAGTCCCTGAGCCACTGGATTGAGCGCCAGCCTGCGAACCGAAGGGTTGTTGGTTCAATTCCCAGTCAGGGCACATGCCTGGGTTGCAGGCCAGGTCCCAGTAGGAGGCACATGAGAGGCAACCACACACTGATTTTCTCTGCCTCTCTTTCTCCCTCCCTTCCCCTGGCTCTAAAAATAAATAAATAAACAAAAAATTACATTGAAGTATAATATAAAATTACATAAACACCCATCATAAATGTCTAGTTCAATGAATGATCACAAATTGAACATACTTACATAACTACTGCCCAGAACAAAAGATATAATATTACTAGTACCCTGGAAGTACTACAGGGGTAGTTTCATCAGTTACAACTCCTATCTTCCCCAAAAGTAACTGTTTACCTGACTTCTAAAACTATATATTGCATTTGCCCGTTTTAAAATTTATATTAACTAGCCCTGGCTGGTGTGGCCCAGTGGACTGAGCGCTGGACTTTGAACCAAAGGGTCACCAGTTCGATTCCCAGTTAGGGCACATGCCTAGGTTTTGGGCCAGGTCCCCAGAAGGGGGCACTCAAGAGGCAACCACACAGTGATGTTCTCTCCTCTTTTCTCTCTCCCTTCCCCTCTCCAAAAAATAAATAAAATCTTTAAAAAAATAAAATGTATATTAATTATAAATCACAACTGAAATTGTGAAATCATTTGAACTAACAAATGAAGAAAATGTTAAGAACATGTAGGATGCAGTTAAAGTTGTAAGTAGAGGGTGTATCTTTAAATCTGTGATTCTCCAGCTCAGCTGCACAGTAGAAGTACTTGGGGAACTTTTGATGCCCAAACCCCACCCCAGACCAGTTACATGAGAATCTCTGGGGATGGGTCAAGCATGTGACAGCTCTCCAGCTGATTCCAACATGCAGTTAAGGTTGCGAATCAATGCTTTGTCAGGAAAGAAAATACACCCCTTTCGATAAATCAGAAAAAGAACTGCTAATTAAACCTAAAAAGAGTAGAAGAAAGGAATATAAATAGAGCAAAATTAATGATATAGGGGAAGAAGTACAATGGAGGGGATTGAAAGAACCATAAGTTGGATCTATTCTTTGAAAAGAATAAGAACATTGTTGTAAATACCTAGCAAGACTGACCAAGAAGAAAAGAGAGAAGGTATGAATAATCTGTCAGAAATAAAAAAGACGACATTACTTCAAATCCTACAGGTGTTTTTCCCTCTACAAGAATACTTTATGAACAACTTCTTGGGGATAAATTTGAAGATGGAACAGATGGAATAGAACAATTAAACAACTATATACAACTTACCAAAACTGACACAGAAGAAATAAGAAATCTAAATAGTCCTGTATCTATTTTTAAAACAATACATAATTTAAAAATTTCCCACAAAGATAACTATAGGCCCAAGACATTTCATGGTAACTTACACTGTTTTAAGGAAAAAATACCAGTATTAACCAAATCATCTAGAGAACAGAAGAGAGACTACTCCCCAATTCATTTTACAAATTTAGCACAACCTGACAAGAATATTATGAGAAACAAATTTATAAGCCAGTCTCATGAAGGAGGAAGCAAAAATCTACCAATAATAATGAACATTGGGAGTTCTGGCCAAGGTGGAGGTGGAGGCAGAAATACTGCTTCCTCGCACAACCAAAACAAGGATGACAACCAGAACTGCCAGAATAGCAAACTGTGTGGAACTCCAACAACCAAGGAGTTAAAAAAACATTCATCCAGACCAGTAGGAGGGGCAGAGATGAGCAGCTGGGTGGGCAGAGAGGACCCACCGCATGGCTGCTGAACACGCAGGGAAGGAGAGGCTGGCTCACCTGGAAACTAAAGACTCAAAACTTCTAACCACAAAATACTATGGGGGTTGCAAAGGTGGGAGAAACATCCCAGTCTCACAGGAGAGTTGGTTGGAAAGTGGGGCTAGAGCAGAGTGAGTGGGTTGCATTGTTCCCTCTCTGACTCCTCCCCAACAGACAGCTCCACAGTGCAGCAAAGAGGATTGCCACACACTGGTGAATACCCATGGCTCCGCCCCTTACAACTTAACAGGTGCGCCGAGATGAAGAAATAAGGCTCAGATGAAAGAACAGATCAAAACTCCAGAAGAAGAGTTAAGCAGTAAGGAGATAGACAACCTATCTGATGCTGAGTTCAAAATACTGATAATCAGGATGTTCACAGAATTGATTGAGCTCGGTCCCAAAATGAAGGAAGAATTGAAGGCTACACAAAATGAAATGAAGCAAAATATACAGGGAACCAACAGTGAAAGGAAGGAAAATGGGGTTCAAATCAAGAGTTTGAAACAGAAGGAAGAGATTTACATTCAACCAGAACAAAATGAAGAAAGAAGAATCCAAAAAAAAAAAAATGAGGAGAGGCTTAGAAACCTCCAGGACAGCTTTAAACATTCCAACATCCAAATCACAGGAGTGCCAGAAGGAGAAGAGGAAGAGCAAGAAATTGAAAACTTATTTCAAAAAAAATAATGAAGGAGAACTTCCTCAATCTGGTGAAGGAAATAGATTTCCAGGAAGTCCAGGAAGCTCAGAGTCCCAAAGAAGTTGGACCCCAGGAAGCACACACCAAGGCACATCATAATTACATTAGCCAAAATTAAAGATAAGGAGAGAATCTTAAAAGCAGTAAGAGAAAAGGAGACAGTTACCTACAGAAGGAGTTCCCATAAGACTATCAGCTGATTTCTCAAACCTTGCAGGCAAGAAGGGGTTGGAAAGAAGTATTCAAGGTCATGAAAGGCAAGGACCTACATCCAAGATGACTCTATCCAGCAAAGCTATCATTTAGAATGGAAGGGCAGATAAAGTGCTTCCCAGATAAGGTCAAGTTAAAGACGTTCATCATCACCAAGCCCTTATTATATGAAATGTTAAAGGAACTTATCTAAGAAGAAGAAGATCAAAACTATGAACAAAAAAATAACAACAGACTCACAATTATCAACAACTGAACCAACCCCCTTCCCACCTCCCGCCAAAACTAAGCAAGTACTAGAATAGGGAAAGAATCATAGATACCACGATAGACACCACTTGGAGGGTTATCAGTGGGAAGGGGGAGGTGGGAGAATAGGGTGGGGGAAAATACAGGGAATAAGAAGGACATGAATTCTTACAAAATAGAAGGAGCTCCAAAATAAATAGTGGTTTTTCTGATTTTTTGGTTTATAAAATGGATTGCCTCCTTTTATAGTGTTCTGTAACTTCTTTACTCACTGTTCTGTGGTTAACTTTTCCCAGGTGGAAATTCACCTCATTTTTTAAAAACAGCTTCTCTCATAGTTTGATTACCATATTTTTTATAACCATTCCTCTTCTGACTGACTCTTCAGTTGTCCTCAGTTTTTGTTGCCTGCGTCTGCACTTTTCTGTAAATGTCGTCTCTGGGATAGTTTTTGTAATTGCTGTATCAAAACGCAAAAACACTGCCACCTGGCCCCTTAGAACAGTTGGCGTGAATTTACATTCCTGCAGCTGGAGTTAAT